TGAGTGATTCATTTATCGTTTTAGCATATAATGGATTGATATACCGCATTTGTGTTAGAAGGTTTCAACGAAAAATTAGTGAACATACGTAAGGCCTCATCTGTAAGGATAGTTAACTTTTTATATCAGTTCAGTTGAGTTTTTAGTTGAGTTATCAGTTGAGTTTTTTTCATGAATGCTCGAGGTGCTCTATCGACTAACAAAGTCAAAGTAACAAGTGAATAAATGTAAAATGATTGAATGAAAATAGATCTATGTTTTTGAAATTTGAGATGATTCATATTTCAAGCAGTTTATCTTTGACGTTTTTGAGTAACTACCTTCCCCTCCCCCGAGCCAATGGCAGTATCTGCTGAGTAATTGAGATAACTTGAACCTTAATTGTGTGTTTGATTCTGTTATTTTTTTAGCTATGACTGAATTTGCAGCTACCCTTCCCACCAAGTGCCTATTTGTTTCCACCAAGAAGTGGCACAATGCCTGTGGGCATATTGTTGGACACATTGTTCACATAACAGGGTGGTATTTGCAAGTAAAAACAAATATACCACTAAAAAGCTGGGAGAGAAGGTGTTAATACTCCTTCTGTCAGTCAACAGCCAGTTTATTGCCTTTTAGTCTCAAATCTTGCTTCTTGAATGACTCCTTGCTAGAAAAGTGAGCATGTCAATGTTTTATGATTTCAGCATTGTCATAAAAAAATTTCTGATGGCTATCTGACTGCTGCTTCAGTTTACAGTATTATTTCTCCTTTTTCAGAGGAAAGAAACAATGGTGGTATTTGCATGCAATGCATGTGGTGCTTCAGTGAAGAAAAACCAAGTTGAAAAACACTATCAGCAGCAGTGTAGGAGATGTGAAAGTCTTTCCTGCATGGACTGTGGTAAGGACTTTTGGGGTGAGGATTACAAACAACACAACAAATGTATCTCTGAAGAAGCTAAGTATGCTGCTAAGGGTTGGGAGCCAAAGGCCAGTGCTAATAAAGGAGAAAGAAAGCAGGAAGCGTGGATCGAATCGATCAACAATGTCGTGGGAAAGACTACTGATATATCTCCTGCTGTTCGGGATCTCCTGGCGACATTGTCTCAGCACAGCAACATTCCTCGCAAGAAGAAAAGTTCCTGAACTTCGTGAGCAACAGCATTCGGGTACGGAACAGCGTGCTGGTGGAAGAGGCGTGGAAAATATTCGAGGCGGCCATAGCGAAACCAGCGGAGGAGGCGCCGGCGGTGACAGCCACCGCGAAAAAGAAGGAGAATGATGCCTCTCAAGGAACTGAAAGTAAAGAGGAGATGCTTGACAATGCTACTAGTAAGAAGAAAAGAAGAAAAAAGCGAACTCCGAACCTATCCCTGAAGAAACGGTACCGGAAGATGCACCGGTCGTTAAGAAGAGTAAGAGGGAGAAGAAGATGGAACGTAGCAAGAAGAAGAACAAACTGGCTCAGAATGGCGCTCCTGAGGAGAATGGTGTCAAGAAGGGCAAAAGGAAGCACGAAGAGGCCGACGATGATGTCGATGAAGGTATCCCGGACGAGGAGTGCGGTGGCGGCGCGAAGAAACGGAAGCTGGAGGCAGAGCCGGCCGTAGAGCGACTGAACGACACCCTGGACGAGGCTTCGCTGGCCTCTGCGCAGGCGTCGAAAAAGTTCGACTGGACCGGTGTGGTGCTGGCTCTGCTGGGCAACCGTGACGACCACGAGCTGTCGCTGAAGAAGCTGCGGAAGAAGTGGTGAGCGAGTACGAGTGCCGCGGCTGTGAGGGAAAGCCAAACACCAGCAAGGAGGAGATCTGGGCGAAGCTGGATAAGAAGCTGAAGAAGATGCCTCAGGTGAAGGTGATACGGGACAACGTTAAACTGGTGAGTGTTTGACTGGTGTAGCGATTAACTGTGTTGTGGACTGTGAAGTATGGCGCTCTTTTGTGGCGCCATTTATGGGGTATATTGCTGCGAGGACAATACGTATCTGTTTCCATGTGCGTCGAATTGTCTAGCTAGTGACAAGCCTTCTTGTGAACGTTCTCGTGTTACGTTTTGGATTTCGTCACTACCTTTTTGAAGCGTTGGTATATCAAAAACGCATTCAATTTTAGATTCCTAAGTCTAACAGACAGACAAAGACTGACTTTACATAACCTGTCGTGGTGTCAAGTGGCTGGTTGCGCAGATAGCATTTGCTTTTCAGTGAAGAACCGATGACTCTCTTTTGTAAAACAATTACGTGTTCCGTTACTCTATGCTTATCTCTTTCCGTTCGCAAAACATATATTGCGGTTTAATGGCTGTAAATGTAAAAGGCGATGTAACTTTTGCGACGGCCAGCAAAGCCTATTCCGTACATGCATTATAATGCTCACGCATTTGTTTCACATTCATTTTTTTCCCACAAAGTTAATTTGCTGTTTGTGTAAGCCGGGTGCCAAAAACGTCTCGGTACGAACTTGGAAAGTCAGAACTTCTTGGTAATGGGCATGCCGTGGCTTATGCACTGAATCATCGGGATGACCATCGCCCGTGTTTTGAAAATATAGTGTGATTTTATTTCCGTTTGTCATTTCAGGCTATCTCCCCTGTTTCCTATTTGCATTTTTTTTTTGTTCATTTGGCAATCCCGAGTTGAATGCCGTCGAACCGGCGTTAGTCTCTACTGAGGCATGTTTACCTCGACACCCGCGTCGAAGTATCATTGATAGACCGTGATATCTTCTTGTTTCATATGCCCCGGTCAGGAGGAGAGAGAGTTGATAATGTGCATATATGGAGGTTGAAGATATAATGTATCGGTCAAGTAATGCACCGAACACATTGCTAATGTAAAGCCAACAGCAATCCACAAGGCACAAACATCGCTGGGTACACGCTGTTTATAGAAAAGTCGCACTCGATAACACAGGACAGCAGAAACTCATATTCCCAAAACCTTGTCATCGAGTCGGATCACTATACCTACCATCTGAGAATCGTGTATGAAAATAGAACCGATCCATCGCACAAGTTCAGTGACAGTGCTGTGTGACAGAATCCCCGCCGAGATCCCTACCCTGTTTAGCCGCGCCCCCGCGCGAAGGACACCGCTGCTCCACGGGCGTCTCAGACGCGCACCACCATCTTCCCCGTGTTCTTGCCGTCCATCATGTCCAGCAGGGCCTGCGCCATGTTCTCGAACCCGTCAGTGAACGTCTGCCTGGCCTCCAGCTTTCCGTCAGCCACCAGCTGGGCCAGCTCGGCGCGCGCCTTCTGCATCTTCTCGGAGGTCAGGTCCTGCGCGAAGTACTGGAAGCCCGAGATGGTCAGCTGCTTGGTGATGATGCTGATCTCAGGGAAAGGCCCGGTGGTGGGCGGCGCGGCGCTGTTGTAGCCGCTGCTGGCGCCGATGCAGGCGATCCTCCCGCCATCCGCCATGTGCCGAACCACCGTCTGGGAGAACTTGCCGCCCACGGCGTCAAAGTAGCAGTTGACGCCGTCGGGCGCGGCCGCGCGCAGCGTCTCGGCCAGGTCCTGCGTCTTGTAGTTGAACGCCTCGTCCAGCTTCAGCGTCGACTTGAGCCAGTCCACCTTCTCCTGATCGCCGGCGTAGCCGATGACGCGCGCGCCGAGCAGCTTCCCGAGCTGTCCGACGACGGATCCGACGGCGCCGGCGGCGGCGTTGACGACTAGCGTGTCGCCGGCGCGCGGTCGCAGCAGGTCGTGCACGGCGCAGTAGGCCGTCAGCCCGGTCATACCCACCACGCCCAGGTAGTGGGAGTGGCTGACGGGCGCCTCGGCCGGCAGTGGGATGACGGGAGCGCCGCCCGGCCGGCCGGCCGCCGGCACCACGGAGCGCTCCCTCCATCCGGCGGCCACCAGCACCCGCTGGCCCTCCTGGAGCTGCTCACTGCGGGACTGGACCACCCTGTCGGCAGAGGGGGCGTGGGTCAAGTCAGGTCACTCCAAGGTTCACCGTCCTGTCCGAGGGAGGTGGCGGGGCGCTTCACCGCCAGTTTGCAGTGACATCGCCTGGCAGTGTAGGGACAGGTCACTGCGGTACTGGATCACCTTTTCGGCAGATGCATGGGTTAGTCGATGATAATTTCTTCTGGTAGTCCATCTGCATAGCTCTCCCGATGGACGTGTTTGGTCGGTCCGGGCACGACATGTTGGCGAATGTCATTAAAACTCTGCTCACTGTTAGCACCGACGTACTCCCACCTAAAATCGGTCATTATTTTCCCATTACCCGACCGTCGCCACCAGCTGTGACTCGCTCGCCTCCCCTATCCCATCTGTGTATCCCTCCCCCCATCCCTAATCTGCCCCTGCCCCCCATCTTTTCCCCCTGATGGCTCACCTGGCCACCTGGGTGCCGGGCATGGGCTCGTTGAGCGGCAGCTGCGAGGCGAACGCGCGCATGAACGGGTCCACGCTGAGGAACTCGGCTTCTACCAGCACCTCGCCCTCCTGCGGCTCGGCCAGCGGTTCGTCCCTCAGCTGGAAGTCTGAGGCCTTGGCGGCTCCCTCGGGCCGCGCGGCCAGCACCCAGACGCGCGCCGAGCCGGACATGTCGCGTGCTAATGGCGACCTCGAGCACCTGTGGGAGGGAGGGTAACAAGTGACCTGTTACTGATTCGCACTACCTACAAAAGCGTCGGGTAGGGAATAGGGCTCACATTTCTGTCACCTTTTTATAGACAGATGCATGTATTTAAGTGTGTCCCTGCGAACACCACATAATTGGCATCCTCCGGCTCGGTATCAGGCGGCGTCACGGTGTTCGATCGGCACGCCCCGCGGCACCGGCCGATCTACACACGGTGTGATGGATCGGTCTCGCTCACCGCCCCAGTCTGAACTCTGAGCTGTGGGTGTGTTTCGTACGCCGATGGAACCCGGCCGGCTTGATTCTGTTTGGTTGGTGATAGGTCGTGTGTTAGGTATGTATTCGGTACGTCTGGTGTTCTGGTCGGGTGTGTGCTCGGGTTTCAGTTTGATCGATCTCTCGGATCGAGATGCGTTCCGTTTGGTGTTAGTGGATTTGCTCCGTTTAGCAGTGGGTTATGACGTGTTCTGTCGGGTTATGAGTCGGATGTGTGCTCCCCGAGCCGGTGTGTTCAGTGTCGACGTCCCGGGTGTCTGGCCCGCCGGGCTAATTGGAGGGTTCTGCGGTCGGTGCCGGTGGTACCGACTACCGGCTGTGACCTTGGGTCGGGCCGGCCGGCCATGGGCCATGAGGGAGGCGGCGGTCGGTGGACGACGGCGAACCCCGGACAGGGACAGTCGGGATACTAATATGAGCAGTCGGCTGAGTCGCATCGGAATGATGAGACAGCTCGTGATAGTGCATTCGCTATTTTTTAGCGACCTGGGGACTGAAGAGTCAATGCAGATTGCATTGTAAACGACACTGGCCAAGGCTGGCGTTAGGAACATTGCACGTGATTGGTCAAATCGTTCCACTACCTTCACGCGTATGGTCTTTTGATATTCAAATAAACGAATGACCATGATTCGTCATATAAGGTTTAGTCATGCTAGCTCACTTGAAAATATTTTTTTGTGACTATTCGTTTGAAGTGTTACGTTCTATAGTGCTGTTAATTTCAGTGCATCTGATGAGCACAGGCGAGCTAATTAGAGACCTCCCCTGGGGTCACTGACACAGACGTTCCGGTGCCGATGTCAGGATGTGTCGGCCGCATTGTTCTTCTGTCTGTCTAGTGTCTGTCCGTCGTCAGCCTTGAGGCGTCACGCGGGGCGGTCGTCTCGACTTTGATGTGGGCGGTCAGGCGGACGAGGTATGTCGGCTCCTCCGCCTGCCTGGCCGCGTACTGATTGGATGGATCTGCGGCGGCGACTGAACTGATTGTCAAATCCAAGAAACGGTGGACTGGATTGATTAGACATGGCCCATGGCTCTGTGTACTGATCGGATGATTCAATCCAGAGTCCCAATTCTGAACGAGCGAACTGATGAACGATCATTTCATTGTTTGATTCCGACTCACGCAAGATACAAATTGTCTCATATCGCCACTGCCGCCCATTTTCAGAGAAAGAAGCTCACTATCTGGAACTGTGGGTCGGACTTCCGTCGGTTTTTGCCATTCGGCCCGGGGCTCGACATCTGCCAGCACCCCGGCGTGTGTGACACATCTCTGACAGCGAGCTAACTAGAACGGAAAGCTCAAAAGGACCGGCGAGACAGTTGCTGATAGGGAGCGGCGAGTTCAGGCGCGCACTACACATTACGACCCGCGCATCTGGGTGCAGTTTACCACGTGATTCGGCTGGTAAACCCGACCGTCTCGTATAACTCGGCAATGTTATCCACTGTACACATATCCTATTTAAAACCCTTCAGACTACGCCTAGCTCTGATACCTCTCTGGGGTCACCGCTGATGTGTCTCCCGTGGTATATCCCTGACACGTCCTCTCACAATGCTCTCACCTCTCCCCCGCACGAGGCCGCTCCGTGGTGGAGGCCGCGCTTCTCACCTCTCTCACTTGTTCACGGCAGATGTAATTGGCTCTCACCTGTGAGCACGTCGCTGGAGCAGCAGACTCGCGGACCGGGCGGCGGCCGAACCCAGTCTGAGCAGCATCGTTCCGGCGGTGGCGGCGGTCCCGACAGCCGCTCCTGCGCGAGCGAGCTCCTCCCCAGCCTCAGAGGGCGCCACTGAGCTGTCGCCGGCGGCGGTCACAGAGCGAGCTCACGGTGTGGTGGCAGGAGGCCAAAATTATCCGCCTCTCCGTCCCGGTCTGCCCAATTTACCGGTAAACGGAGACAGCTCGGAGACGGAATCGGTTCGAGATGTGTGGGAGACGGAGGCAGGAAACAGAAACGGTCAGAGTATTTGGAAAAAACGACTCAGGCAATCGAGCTGGCAGCGAGTGGTCGGGGAGTCGCTCCGGCAACAGAAGTATGCTTTACACATCTTTTTTTTGTGTGAAAATGAATAGAAAACGGAACGGCATGGCCGGGAGGTCTTTTTAACCCTGAAAGGAACCTCGTCACCAGGTGATATCACCTCGTTTTCTGACGGCCGCCGCCGCTGTGCCGTCCCTTCAATATGGTAAGTGGGACTGTTGGGAGCGTGCAGCTTGCTGAAGGCTGAAGCCACTGCAGTCGCCCAGTCACGGCAACATGCAGAACCTGGTTATTACTGCCGTGATGTGGATGATTTTTTGCTTCACCGCTTCACCCAGGGGTAGGGACCGGCGGGCTCAAGGCTAAATCTGTGATTACAGGGGCATTCCATGTCAACCGGGACAGCCAAAATCGGCCACCTCTGCGATTTTGTTCAAACTTGGTATACTTATTGGCTATTGGGTGAAACCTCTGAGGGTGAAAGGATTTTGTCATATGCCCTCGGGCTACAGAGAAACAAGTCGCTAAACTTCTGCTTTTTGAGCAGAATTGGACGTGTATTGCAATCTTGAAAGATCTATAGCTTCAACATTTTTGAAGCTATTAATTTCAAACAAACTGAAACGTGTGCATAAGGAGTTATGCTAGTAAAAATTGACAATTTTTACATTTTTTGGTGATTTTGAATTTATATTATTTTGAATTAATTTCTTAAAATGTAATTTGTGAAAAATGGGTACCCTTCGATTTTGCTCAAATTTAGATATTGTCTTCCACTAGATGTAAGGCACACGTGCTGAGAAAATTAGAGTGGGCCAACGATAACTTTGGATGATATAGCAACACGTAGTGCAACGTAGCACGGGCGGTGGAAGGGGCCGATTTCGCTAACTCCACCTGTTTATCGCCAATAACTCACGCCAAAATTATTATATTAACGTTTAACTTACAGTATCTGTCCAGAATCGAATTGCAAATCCTCCCGTGCAAGAAATAGGTAAATCGGTCCACAACTTTTCTAGTAATAGCGGTGTAAAGTCAAACATTCCTGCCGGAGCGGCTCGGCGGCCGGCGCCGGCCGTTGCCTCCTGAATGGTAGACTGTGCCGGCGCAGGACGGTTCCATCTTTGCACCGCGCTTCTTACCGCTGATTATGATCGATTCGTGTCAAATTTTGTGTGAAGGGTTAAAAATGTACAGGCAATCTAATATTCAAATAAATACGAATATCAACTGGTAAAATTAATTTTTTAGGGTGCAAACACAATATGTGACTATGACATTTCCCGCGTCGGCCGATCCCCGCCTCTGCCGGCGACATCTTACTCTTAGCAAGCCACTATAACTGCCAAATTTATGGTAAGATTAACTAGAGATTCTCATAACACTACAAATGTCGTATAAGGGAAGAAATAGGAAAATCGGCCTGTATCTCTTAGATCTATGGGCGTATAAACGCAAAATAGTATAGCAAATTTGATCACGTTTAACCTCATTTGATCTTGAATATATTGATCTAGGGCCATGAACTTATCACACGATAAAGTTCCCCACCGCCCCACCTACAATTCAAATTCCGTTTTTTTTAATACCTTTTTTGACTAAACCGGGCTTTTCTCCCCTAGCGCTGGGAGAGTCGGGCGTATTTTCTTTTTGCAACCAAAGAGAGGCGCTGGCTGGAGAATGCCCAATTTCATCATAAAAACTGGCTTACGATGACCAGCTATCTTCGTGGCTTAGTAGTAAGTGTGCCGAAGGTACCCACCTCGTAATCTAAAGGTCGCTGGCTCGCAGTGGGTCAGCCTGAAGTGTTTAACACGCATTTGTTTTTTAAGTAGCATCTGGCCAGCCGGCAACTGTCGCGAGGGCTAATGTTCGTATCTATGTAGTATGTAGGTAGCATTTGGCCAGTCGGCAACTGCCTTGAGGGCTGTACATATTTACGCGTGTTAGATTAGGTCAGGTCACGTCAGGTCAGGTTAGGTTTGCTTTGGTTTGGGGTAGAAAGAAGCATCTCCGGGTAGCGCCTCTCCTTGGTTGTTAAAACGAAACACGCGAGTGCCAGACATTACGAAGTCCAAAAGACAGTTATGTAGACGTCGGCCCATTCTGGATTTTTTATATGATGTAGCTAATGTATAGGAGAATAAAATATGTAAAAATCAGCAAAATCGAAGGGTACCCATTTTTCAGAAAATCAAAATTTATTTTTTGAATTTTAATTAAGTTCACTAATTAGTTAATTACGTCAATATTGTTATCCTCAAATTAAAGCCTGACCTATTCCCTCCATTTCACACTTTGTCTCGTGGTGATGTGTCTAAAACTTCAATGGTTATGACGCTTTAAAGATGATAATGTACCTTGCCTAAGTCAATGTTTGATGACGTGTATCTCGGAAACGTGACGTCATATTTTGACAAAAATATGTCTCCTTTCTTTTCACATATAGATGAGTAGTTTCACAAAGTTTCGCAAAAATCGGAGGAGGTGAGGTTCAAAATGATCATTTTTTGTCCCACTTGACGTGGAATGCCCCTACAACAGCACGAACGGCGTCAGCGATAATACATCCAATCGGGTGGATGCTGCGTTTGCGGGAAAATCGGAATAACAGCGCAGGATATTCACACGCACGTAACGACCTTTGCATTGCGGGTAGTCGCGATCAGCTTTTACATAGAAGGTTGTGGGAAGACTGTGTGATCGGATATGACATGATACGGTGCGACTGAATCCGTCGCGGAATACGACGCTAACTTCACGGACGTCGGTGCGGAACGAATACTAACAACCTAGCTATTCGCCCACCACTGAGATATAGGCAGCTGGAATATGACAGCCTGTATCTCTGCAGCTCTTATATGTTCAGTAAGTATTGCCTGCTTAAACGTCATATACCTAGATGTTTAGCACACTTAATTCAGGGCTCGATGATCCCTTGGTCGGTAAAGTTTGAACATCCCAAACCGATCATAGCATTTCATCCTGGAACAGGGGCGGTTCTCCCATATAGGCAAGGTAGGCAGTGCCTACGTCATTTGCCGTCTCCCCTGCGTCTACACCCTCACTAGACTGTGGCTTTTGATTGCTCTGTTGCTTTTGTTAAATATATATTTTCTTTTCGTCTTCAAAATGTGTTGAAACGAAAGATAATTGCCTATACTTTTCAAAAAACGTCACACAAATATCGTATTATACATCAACTTGATTAAAACCTTTGCCTAATTGTGCCTACCTCGTCCTACTAGATTATCGACTATTGCCATGTTGAGGCTATTGAGCCTTTTGGTAGAAAAGGTCTAGATGGTCGGCACATCGACTAGGTGCTACCTTCTAACTTTCAAACTGAACTTTTTATTTAGTCCATTTATCATAAAATAAAACACATTTTACGCTATCAATTTTCATCATTAGTTTAGGGTACCTAGCGTTGTTATGCTTGTTGTGTTATTCTATTGTTTCTTAAAAATTATATTGGACGAACTAGACTCCTACTTGGAGACTAGCTTCCCTCTGGCGGCAGACGTGTAAGCTTAAGTTAGGTTTTCATAGATGACGCTGCTTGAGCTGACTGAGCAATAAGGCTGTCTTTTCCCCCTTTTACCTATTCCGTATTAAGCTTTTCTGCCTTACCTACCAAGTGCCTACCTACTTTCAAAGGGTCAGCGCCGCCCCTGTCCTGGAACCGTTTATCGCATGTGATCATTCCTCCGGCCAGCCATGAGCCGACTACTCATCCCTCTTTCGTTCACCTTCGGTCCGTGGTGGAAGGGATCACGCCAAAAGGGAGGTGTTCAATGAGGCGTGCTGAAATCCGACCGGCGGTCACGACGGTAGCATCAAACAGTCCAAGTTAGAACCGCGTTCGACAGAAAAAGGCCGAGTTTTTGCTATGGGTAGCCGGTAGGGTGGTAGGATTAGCATGGAATCCAAACGAGGGATGCTACAATAATATGATGAAGGACGCGCACCGGCGAGGGTTTAGGAAGCGAAACAACATTCAAGACCTTGCACAGAAACATACCACACAGCTGGTATAAGTAATTTATTTACCTGGGCGCAGTGAGCTATGCTTCATACAACAGCACCAACCGTGTGCAAACAACATGTAACGCTGATCTTTGCGACATTTGATCTCGCATATAGTACATCTCGAAATGGACACATCGTTCGTTTTAACTATTATGAATAATTAACACCACAATAATCGTTTAAGGCGTCGATAGGGACGGAGTCGATCTACCGTGTTATTGTCTTTCGATTGCCGTTGATCACAGCCCAGGCGTGGTTACTGTTTCAAACGTCGTAAGTACGAACGCCGCGAATGGTGACAGTCTGAACAGATTGGTGTGCTTGAGCCAACTGGGATGACTAGTGATCGACCACCGGCGGGCGGCGACTAGCAGTTTATCGTTAAGGTGCGCAACATGCGGTTCAACCACCTACTCGTATATGAATTCCAACCTGAATTCAAACGCTCGATTAATATAACGTGTTAAATAGGGAAAAATAAATAAAGCGAGTCTCAGTAAACCAGAGCAGTAGTGCTTCAACACATTTAACTGTGGGACGAGACATTATGACTAAAATCACGTTAACATAAACATAAGCAACATAAACTGTAATTTGTTTGGAAATATCATCGCGACTACAACTGAGTTGGATTACTGACCCACGAGTGGACTACTGACCTAACATTTCCCTAGACGACAAATATGTCCGCTATGACTAAATATGACTAATCACATCATTCCTGTGAGCTGACAGCGCGATTACACGCTGATCCACCTACTCAGCACATACCACCGTGGACCGATCCACACCGGTTTCCACACTCGGCTCCACATCCACACGGCACGTCAGGGCCTATTTTAACATGTTAACTGGGGTGGCAAAACCCACCCCAGTGGTGCGGTT